GCCATCCCTCCTTCGGTTTTGTGACACCATCAGAGACCAAGGCGCCCCCCTTGACAACTGTTGGGCGTTTATAGATGGCACGGCGAGGCCAATCACTAGGCCCTGTGAAGGCCAAAGAATTTTTTACAGTGGCCATAAAAGATGCCTGCCCTGTTTCAATCCGTAGCAACTCCAAATGGGTTGGTGGCAAATATGTATGGCCCCTTAGAGGGCCATAGGCATGATTCGGGCATGCTCTTCGAAAGTGGTTTGCTACAACAATTAGATACATTTAACAAACCGGATGGGTCTCCAATGGTGGTCTATGGTGATCCGGCATACCCACTACGTGCTCATCTCTGTGTGCCATTTCGTGGAGGAAACTTAGACGATGATGAAAAGGCGTTCAACAAAGCAATGTCAAAAACAAGAACTTCTGTCGAATGGATTTTTGGGAATATAGTTAACAACTGGGCATTTTTGGCATTTTTTACAAACATTCATACTTGCTTATATGGAAACCAGGTCTCTCAGTACTTTAACGTTGAGCCTCCAACAATCCAAGAATATTTAAATCCATGAACCTAATGTGCTTTTCTGAATAATGACACAAATGCAACAAATGTAGAAAGCTTAACACGTTATATATAGATATATATTGAAACAACGATATATAAAATGCACATTTTCCTCAATGCACATTTTGTCCATTGTAGTAGTATAAAAAATAAATAATATCCTTCATTCATGTTTAATACTCGATTGTTTGTATAATGGGAATGAATGCAGAAAGTGTAACATGTAATACGTATTGAAACAATTAAAAAATGCACATTTTGTTCAATGTCCATGAGTATTTGTCATTGTAGTTCTATAAAAATTAAACACAAAATATAACATCATTATGTTTACAATACTCGATTGTTTGAATGCTGAGAACGAATGCAGAAAGTGTAACATGTGATACGCATTGAAACAAAAATATAAAAATGCACATTTTGTTCAATGTCCATTAGTCAATCAATGTCGATTGTAGTACTATAAAATTAAACAATAAACAATAATAATGTGCAATACTTGATATGGTATCATACATAGAACTGGACGAATATAATACACTCATATATAAGTCTACAACTTTTTATCGCACTTTGAAAAAGTGCTATATTGTCGTCGTCTTGTGCTGTTGGGCGGGTGTTTGGGCGTGCGGGCGTTTGGGCGGGTGTTTGGGCGTGCGGGCGTTTGGGCGTGCGGGCGGGACATAAACCAAATCTTGTCATCAAATTTCCAGGATAACTGCTTACCTGTTAAACTTGAAATTTTTACAGATGCAAGAGCAGACTAGTACCAAGATCTGATTAGGTTAAGGGCATGCTGGGTAAACTATGTGGCGGCCATTTTGAATTTTTCAACAAATCTTGTCATCAAAATTCCAGGAAAACCACTTATCCGTTCAACTTGAAATTTTTACAGATGCAAGAGCAGACTATTGCTAAGAAATCTGATTAGGTTTTGGGTATGCTGGCTGAATTACATGGTGGCCATTTTTAATTTTTTAATTTGGCGGCCATTTTGAATTTTTCAACTTGCTCCAAATTGACCAATTTTTTTTAAAAAACATCTACAAGTTCTCAGAAGTTCAAATCTGACCTTAGATTTCAGATTTGACCTTTCATTCACCTTCAGTGACCTTGAAAAGGTCAAAAAAGTTGATTTTCTAAATTGATATTTTGGATTTAAATTTAGGTCAGCTTAATTACAAAACACCTACTGAGGTCTGAAAAAGTGAAATTTTCAAGGTCGAAAGTCAAGGTCATTAAACTAGGTCACAAATGATGTTATCCAAGTTTCTCAAAGTTTGAGACTACAAATCAATTCTTGTCATCAAAATTCCAAGAAAACCGCTAACCTGTTCAACTTGAAATTTTTACACATGCAATAGCAGACTAGTGCCAAGATCTGATTAGGTTAAGGGCATGCTGGGTAAACTACGTGGTGGCCATTTTGAATTTTTCAACAAATCTTGTCATCAAAATGCCAGGAAAACCACTTATCCGTTCAACTTGAAATTTTTACAGATGCAAGAACAGACTATTGCCAAGATCTAATTAGGTTTTGGGTATGCTGGCTGAATTACATGGTGGCCATTTTGAATTTTTCAATTTGCCGGCCATTTTGAATTTTTCAACTTGCTCCAAATTGACCAATTTTTTTTTTAAAAACATCTACAAGTTCTCAGAAGTTCAAATCTGACCTTAGATTTCAGATTTGACCTTTCATTCACCTTCAGTGGCCTTGAAAAGGTCAAAAATTTGATTTTTTAAATTGATATTTTAGATTTAAATTTAGGTCAGCTAATTACAAAAGACCTACTGAAATTTTCAAGGTCGAAGGTCATCAAATTAGGTCACAAACAATGTTATCTAAATTTTCCCAAAGTTCAAGACTACAAATAAATTCTTGTCATCAAAATTGCAGGAAAACCGCTTATCTTGTCAACTTGAAATGTTTACAGATGCAAGAGCAGACTAGTGCCAAGGTCTGATTAGGTTTTGGCCATGCTGGGTAAATTGCATGGTGGCCAGTTTGCTCTTCAAAGTGCGATATTTATCACTGTGTGTCTTGTTCTTCAATAGTACTAACATCATCCTTTCTTTCTCCATCTGCTGCTCCTTTTCCCTCTTCAACCTCCCACCTTTCTCTCTCCAGTTTCAGTTTTTCTTTATCATTTTCAACTTTAGCGCTTAGGTAATCGCTCAGGAAATGATCTGGAAATATACATGTAGATATAGAAACTTAATGGTTATTTTCTATTTTCATTTACAATCAAAAATAGTAAGCCTTACAGTCGGTCTGTCACGTTTCTTAACTAGACGGTCAAAAAGGGGAAGATAAGGTACAGTATAGTAATGTAAATGAAATACGAATAGTGACAATACCTATGCCGCTAGCACTTCGTCTGGTTTTCTTTTCTGGCACCCCAGAACCTGCATTGCTAGTATCTGTCTCGCCTTCATTAGATGATCCAGGTTTACTCTTCAGTGGAGAAGTTGACTTCATTTGTTTCATTGCTTCTTTTCGCAATTTCTTGGCTATTTCTGCTTCTTTCACTTTTTTTTCTCTCTGTTTTTGACCTCTTTGGCTTGTTTCCCCAATTCCTGTGAAAGGAGGTACGCTTCTTCACACAGGACATTGAACTCTTTATATTCGGATTCAGTTCCAGATCTATTGAAAAATCATGATAAATATTTTAATTCAACTAAAGTTCACTCATAATTCAAGAGTAAGATGTTTGCCATCATGCAAAGGTTGTACAATCTGTAGACCTCTGCAAGAGACCAAATCTGTGATATTTTCATTCTACACAATGTGCAACAGAGATGCAATGCAAACACCTAACAAAATATCGCCACCTGGTAATTGTTACAGCCTAAAGATCACATCAATGAGATGTAAACTCCAGTATCGACTATCAATGAAAATTAATCATTCAACTAGCATAACATTTAAACATCAATTATACAATTTTATGACAATTTTATTCCAGTGTGGATCGTCAATGCAATATGTACATAAAATAAGCATGACAATTTTATTCCATTCCAGTGTTGATCGCCAATGCAACTGATACATGCATTTAGCATCATATATTTATACTAGTGTCGATCGTCAATTCAATATACTGTATAAGTGGTATTTAATCCGAATGTTTAATTTTCCGAAATGTTATCATTTTCATTATTTTAATTTTCCCAATGACTAGAAACTTCCCATTGGGTAACATTATGAAGATAATATTTCCGACATTTAATTTTCCGAACCTGGCAAAAATTAGGAAATAGGCAAATTAAATGATTAGGCAAAATTACCACTTATACAGTATACATAAAATAAGCATGCCATTTTTACTCCAGTATGGATCGTCAATGCGACTGATACATGCATTTAGCATAGTATATTTATACCAATGTCGATCGTCAATCCAATATATACATAAAATAAGCATATCATGTTTACTCCAGTGTGGATCATCAATGCAATATATACATAAAATAAGCATATCATGTTTACTCCAGTGTGGATCATCAATGCAATGCAATAAATACATAAAATAAGCATATTGTGTTTACTCCAGTGTGGATCGTCAATGCAATATATACATAAAATAAGCATATTGTGTTTACTCCAGTGTGGATCATCAATGCAATGCAATAAATACATAAAATAAGCATATCGTGTTTACTCCAGTGTGGATCGTCAATGCAATATATACATAAAATAAGCATATCATGTTTACTCCAGTGTGGATCATCAATGCAATGCAATAAATACATAAAATAAGCATATTGTGTTTACTCCAGTGTGGATCGTCAATGCAATATATACATAAAATAAGCATATTGTGTTTACTCCAGTGTGGATCGTCAATGCAATATATACATAAAATAAGCATGACATGTTTACTCCAGTGTGGATCGTCAATGCAATATATACATAAAATTATCATAGCATGTTTACTCCAGTGTGGATCATCAATGCAACATATACATAAAATTATCATAGCATGTTTACTCCAGTGTGGATCATCAATGCAACATATACATAAAATTAGCATGGCATGTTTATTCCAGTGTGCATGTGGATCGTCAATGCAATATAAGCATAATATTAGCAAGGTATGTTTACACCAGTGTAATATATACCTACAATAGCATGGTATGTTTACACCAGTGTGGGTCGTTAATGCTATTGATGCAGAATATTTACAATGTGTTGTTTACATCAGTTTAAATATACAATTCAAACATGACTGTGCTCTATTCGAATTTCTCAACCAATCAGAATGCAGCATAGCCAATATAGAACATTCTCTAATTCTCCATAGATGCACATGACCATGCTCTATTCAATCTGCAATTTGCATTGTTTTGAGTGACGTCACATCTCAGCTGCACATCTGAGGCTCTGTCCGGGGATAGCTGTTCTTTTTTTACTCCCTCCATAACTACTGTAACTATTTAACTATGGCTGACTTCAAGTTTGCAGTCGGTGAACTAGTCTTATTTAAGGATGATTTAAGAGTTATTATGGAGCGTTCTTATTACCAAACAAATAAAGTATATTTCATTTCAAAATTAGGGGAAAATGAAATGACATGGGCAATAGAGAGTGATTTAAAATGCATAGAACTCTCAGAGTCTGGTTTCGATGACCAGGAAAAAAATTGACCAGATTGTCCCGGTAAGTTACTTAGCTACTCGTTGTTATAAATTACTGCCAGAACATAATATTTATGTAATTTCCAAGCTTTAAAAAGGTATAGTGATAGTGTATGTGTGTTTTGAATGCTTACACTGAGTGGGGGTTAACTCTTGTTACCGAGCCTCCTGTGCTACGTGTGTGTGTATTTGATACATGTAGTCTAGCCTAGGTCTAATCCGGGGTCTAATCACCATCTCCCCAACAACTTGAACTTGAGATCCAGTGTTCTATCGTAGATCTAGGCTTACACGTATCATGGCCTATCATATGTGACATGACAGTTCTATTTTTATTTTCAGATTGTGCCAAATGACACTGAGTGTGAGATCAAGGACGTCAAACTTGGTGAGATACAAGAGCCTGAACAGCCCAATCAACAATCACGGTTTCATAATCCTAGCGAATCTGAAATATCAAAACTTGAAGACAGTCGACATGAAACTACAACAAAAACGCAAACCAAATGGGCCATAAAAATTGTAAAAGGTAAAATGCCCGGTGTAAAATGTTACGTATAAATGTATAGATTATATATAAATGTAAATTATGTATAAGCTTTAAATATCATCTGTAGCCAATAATTAGATTTAATATGTTTACCTACATGTACACTGTATATAAAAGTAGTACATTTCCCCATCCTTAATAATACACATAAAGTATGACCATTTACTGTATTGTAGATTCAATCCTTAATAGCATTTCTCGCATGCTCTTTCCAGAATGGTGTACAGAACAGTTGAAGATGACTTTAGATGATATGATTTCGTCGGAATCATTTCCTGAACACCTCAGAGAGTTCTACGCTTCAGTTCGACAGAAAAATGGTGACAATTATTCAAAGAGTGCCTTGAATAGCATTCGTGCAGGGATCCAAAGATATTTGGACAATAGGGGTATTTCCATGGATTAAAGTGGGAACACTTTTTCTGCTGCGAATAGAGTGTTGAAAGGGTTGATAAAGGTGCTCAAAAGAGAAGGTAAAGATACAGCAACACACAAAGAGGTTATTGATGAAGGGGACATGACATCGCTGAAGGAATATTTGAAAGATTTTGATAATCCACGTATACTACAACAGAAGGTGTTTTTTGATATTATGCTTCATTTTGGCAGACGGGGCCGTGAAGGTCTTCGTGACCTGAAGAAAGACAGTTTCCGTATCGTAACAGCCAGTAATGGTAATCAAATGGTTGAAATGACTTATAACGAAGCAACAAAATCAGACCACGGTCTAAAAAAACTTGAGACTAAAAGACCCGTTATGTGTGCAACTGGTAACATTGATTGCCCAGTTAAGTCTTTTCAGAAATACATATCTCATCTTCACCCTAACTGTCCATCATTCTTTCAAACCCCAAGGGCAACCACAAAGAAGCAAGGACATTTGATGTCTGGACCATGGTATTTAAATACTCCAGTTGGAATAAATACTATTGGAAATATGATGAAAAAAATTAGCTCTGATGCTAACTTGTCAAAAGTGTATACCAACCACTGCATAAGGGCAACATGTGCAAGCTTACTGAGTAAGCATTTCAATGACAGAGAAATTTGTCATGTAACTGGTCACAAAAATACAGAATCCTTAAAACCATATATAAACCAGCCTTCTGAAAAAAAAGAAACAAAGCTATAGTACAACTCTGTCAAATTATGGAGTAGAGAAAGAAAACCTTCCAAATAGTGATACTACACTTAGTACAAATGTTGAAAACACTAGTAGCAGTACTACCAATTCTCTTGAAGTGTTGCACAGTGGGGTGTTACAAAGTGCCATGTTTAATGGAAATGTAACATAACATTAACATTCAAAAGTAAAAAGTTACAGGTTGCTATATGATTATAAAGTTAATCAACACAAACATTCAGGTCTGAAATTGACTAAATGTAACATATAGAGTAACAGTACATTACATGGATGTACTGACATTATTTATTTTATTTATTTATTCATGTGTTTACATCCAAAATGAATATTTATAATATTGTTAGCTGAATCAAGGACGTCAACCTCGTGGACTGAAAATGAGCAGGATTCCCATTGAATTTTCCTATGGCACAAATTCTGTTCTCTGATTCGCCGGAAGTGACGCACTTTGACCTACTTATGCGTGGACCGCCATAAATGAAAAAATTATTCAGTTAAAGTCTAATTTGAGCCCTGAAAAGTGTTATAAATGTAAATGAAGGACAAATATCAACTAATCCTAGTAAGTATCAGTCGATTTACCACACAAATTAGCCATAAAATGCCAAAGAATCCAGAATTCGTCCATTCTTTGCCATATTTAGGCAAAATGAAGATGATTTATAGATCAACTAATGTACAGAATGGTTATATGAGTTCTGCTGATACAAATTTAGTGCCGCTTTTCATACCAACTGATTTTGCTCAAAATTTCAGATTTTTGGGGGATTTTTTTGCAACATGACAATGTTTCGACACATGTTTGTCGTAATATAATCCTTGAATGCATGTAAATTTGTATTTTCATGATTCCTATACATACTTATTATATGCTACTGTCATATGCAGTAGCTGAAGTATCAATGTCTTTATAATTATACTAGTTCCATGCCCCACCCTAAGTTTTCAGTCAACACATATTTTGTAGAATTCCCAAAGTTAGCGTACCCATATCTCGGGTAATATACAAGGGCCGATCAAAAAGTTTCTTACCGTTGGCTCTCAATCTCTATAATAATAAGAGGAGTTGGAAGCTCAAACTTTAACATGAAACAGGATAGTTAGTTTGCTTGAAACTGTACGAGTTTCATATAAATTGATCTATTGGTAGTGACACAAAGTCAATTCATATTTTCAATGACAAAGTTAGGTGGAGCAGCGTTATATATAAAATATCTGCTGAGTTGTGGTTCTGGAAATTTGCCGACATCGTTTCAAACCTCTCATACGAAGGCCTTAAAGGAACATTCCTTGCCAGACTATTTCTCTCCTGATATGGTAGCTACAATCATATATATACTTCACATATTTAGCAAAACACGGGAAAATGTTTTCATATGGTCAATATTGATAATTTAAAAATGTAGTACTCATTCCCAGTAAGCTGCCATCTTTTCAGATTTCTTTTAGGAAGTGATGTCATCGACTCTCACCTGTTATAACCTTGTCTATTACAGTATAGGAAAGAAGTACAAAATCACTTCTAAACAAGAAGCCCTTATCTTCTGTGTAAAAATATTTTCAGGAGTTGTGAACTTAGAACTAAAGAAGAGATCATCAAAAGGATTTTAATCATAGACCAAATTGAAAAAATATTCAGCTGGTTTAGTAATTCTAATAGCTCCTTACCTAATGTTATATGCAAAGTTGAGAGTCGATGACATCACTTCCTGAGTGAAATTTTAAAAGATGGCAGCCTACTGGAATTGAGCACTACATTTTTAAGTGATCAATATTGACCATTTCAAAACATTTTTCTGTTTTTTGATAAACTTGCAAAGTATGTTTATGGTTATAGCTACCATATTAGGAGAGAGATGGTCTGGCAAGGAATACCCCTTTAAACATGTGTTTTTGGATCGAGTGGACAGATATAGGAAGTGCATTGCAACTGGGGTTGAATATTTTGAATGAGAATGAATATTAGCAGAAACACTAATTAAACATGATTAAACTACAGTCTGTTGACAGATGACACTACTTAGTGTTAGAAATTTCCATAACTGCAGCTTAGCACAATTTTTTATTAAAAAACGCTGCTCCACCTAATTCAATCATTGAAAATATGTATTAACTCTGTGTCACTACCAATGAACCAATTTAAATGAAACTCAGACAGTCTCAAGCAAACTTACTATTCTGTCTTATGTAAAAGTTTTAGCATCCAACTCCTCTTATTATAAAATCTAGAGCCAATGGTAAGAAACTTTTTGATCGGCCCTTGTATGTGCAAAATGAGAAAAGTAAACTGTTTTCATTTCATGTAATGGTGCAGATTTCACAAAATAATGTTTAAAACTGGTCCTCCGTACTTAAATCTTAAAAGAACACAACCACCATATAAATTTGCATTGGCTCTTATGTGCCGCTATTTCGCTATTTATTGGCGTATAGTAATATCATACATACAAACTCCACATACACAATGACCATTTGGGCAGCACCTCGGAGGTGTCCCGGACTTATGATCGGAACATAATCCTGGCATACAAAGCCATATATCATTTATATTCTATTATCAACTTCTAAATCCCACACTTTTTATATTAAATATTGTGCAGATGCCCCGGAGGCAAAATTCAATAATAGTCCAATGATCTGATCTTAATCCTGGCATTTAAAGCCATATTATTAATATTATATTTTCCAACTTCTAAAATGGATTATTCCTCAGAGGTAAACTCTTAATATTAAACAATCCTTATCTACAGATGCCCCGGAGGCAAAATTCAATAATAGTCAAATGACTTAATCTCAATCCTGGCATATAAAGCCATATTATTAATATTATATTTTCCAAATTCTAAAGTGGATTATTCCTCAGAGGTAAACTTTTAATATAAAACAATCCTTGTCTACAGATGCCCCGGAGGCAAAATTCAATAATAGTCAAATGATCTGATCTTAATCCTGGCATATGAATCCACATTTGTTAATATTATATTATCAACTTCTAAAGAACACATCCCTCGGAGGTAAACTTTTGATATCAAATATTTCTTATGCACAGATGCCCGGTTGGCAAAATTCAATAATAATTCAATTGATCTGATCATAATCCTGGCATATAAAACCATTTTGTTAATATCATATTTTTAACTTCTAAAGTAGATTATTCCTCAGAGGTAAACTTTTAATATTAAACAATCCTTATCTACATATGCCCCGGAGGCAAAATTCAATAATAGTCCACTGATCTGATTATAATCCTGTCATATAAAGCCATATATTATGCTTATTCTATTAACTTCTAAAGTACATACTCTCCAGAGGTAAACTTATAATACCAAATATTCCTTATCTACAGATGCTCCTGAGGCAAAACTCCATAATAGTCCAATATTGATTCTTGGGACTTAATTCTTTTGACAAATTTCGAAATGAAATCACTATCTAGCCTTGGAGGCAAATATCTCAAATCTTATAATGTATAGATAATCCTGTATAGCTCCACAAACGTCTCCGAGAGGAGTCTCGTCTAAAATTAATAAACAAATATATCGTCACTCCTTGCCCAAACATTAAACTCGTTCCATATGCCTCGGAGGCAAAGCTTTTTATCCAGCTTTTTATCTCAGTTATGAATTCTTGCAAATAATTTACATTTTACATTCATGTGGTTTCGGAAACCTTCCTTACATACTCTGTATACAGTTTCTTAGTATTATATTGACAGAACTTATGCCATGTAGGCTAAAAATTTGAATTCTTTAATGCCAACCTCGCGGCGACCCCTTTTTGCAAAGTGCCAAAGGTACCTTGTATATTTTGTTTTTTATATACAAGGAGGTCCACCTACCCCTAAGATGAAATTGGCGTTTGTAGGATTTAAGAATTCGAAACACACAATTTACTTAAAACAAAAACTATTTCTAACTTTATAACATTAATATCAAAGTAAAATACATTTGACAAGATATTTTAAAACAGTAAACCTTAGAGTCATTTGGTAAATTTAGCAAATGCTGCCGTGTTAGCGTCACAAAGCCGAATGATTTGTTAATTTCAAAACCTATTTCCTCAACATAAATCACTCACAACTCATTCAATCAATACCACCGTTTATCGTCACTTAAATAGAACAGAACATTCTCAAATATACACCCCCGTAACAAACTATAGAACACCTTCTCCAAATCTGATATCAAAACAGTGTGAAGTACCCGTATTAAATAATTTTCAAACTTATTCGCTACGCTCAATCGTTAGAAAATATCATTAAAACTGGTCCTCCGTACTTAAATCTTAAAAGAACACAACCACCATATAAATTTGCATTGGCTCTTATGTGCCGCTATTCCCGAAGAACAAAGATAAGGTAAGGTAAGAATAAGTTTAAAATCCCATTCAAATGAAGATAGTATATTCTTATTTAATATGAATAACGCAATAAACTTAATTAAGTCACCTATTATAAACCAAGATTGATAACTTTCTTGAGTGTTACTCTCCACATAACCATCTATAGAACAATCACTTTCCACCTCCTTTCAGCCGAACAACCTGCCGTTCACATCCACTGTTAGCACCTGTAGTAGCATCATCACTACGTTAACCATGTCAACCAAAGATGGTTGTTTCAACTCTTATTTCTTTCTAAGTACCCCAAAACATTTTTCTACAAGATGAGTACAAGCACCTGTAGTAGCATCATCACTACGTTAACCATGTCAACCAAAGATGGTTGTTTCAACTCTTATTTCTTTCTAAGTACCCCAAAACATTTTTCTACAGACGAATGACTCATTTTTAAAAACAATATTCTTAATAATTTCAACTGTGATTGAAAATGCTTGGTTAGCTGATAGACTACGTAAACTACTTTCGTTATTCCATTTTGAAAACTTATATGCATAATTTTCTATCGTCTTTGGCTCTCCAGACTTCACCACAAAACCAGACATTTTCGTCTGATAGATATTTAGATTTTCATTGTCTCTACTGATTGGATCTTCTTCCTGCCATACCACACTGGCGTTAACTGCATCTGTGTCATTTATATCCTGAAAACGTACAAGCAACATCGTTACACAATGAAACTACCATACATTAAACAAGAACAACAGTGCAATGCTTTTAATAATCTATTTTTAATGCAATAAATATGCTCCTGAAGCAACCAATTCTGAATATTCATATGCTATATCTCTGAGTGCCGGGCACTAAATAATCACCACCGGGTGGGGATTCTATGTTTTTTAATACAACTATGGTATCTTTTTCATTCACGTATTGACCAGTATACAGAAGACTGCCACTGTGGAAAAACCATTAATACTCTCGCTTGCAACCATCAGCCTGAAATATTTGCAATCAATACTACAGGTGTAACAACATAATTTATTTTACCACACCAGTCCTGAGAAAACGAATCGACAGCCTCAGCACCTACATAGTTGTGAATATTTAGAATTAAATCTGTAACATTGCGTTCATGTTGTCTGCGAATAAGTCTACAGTATACACTCCCCGTTTTGTATCTAAAAAGTTGAAGATATCCATATACCCCCAGTCATTATAATTTATCATTTTGCTGATGGACTCAGCATTTCGGGTTAGTTCCCGCGGGATCCATTCAGCCTTCAAAACCACGATTCTCTGCAAACATATTTCACGAATATCAACGGCAAGTTTCTGAATTTCTTGTATCATGCTACCCTTGTTTACTATATTCACTACACCAGTGTTGTCCGTGAATCAACAAACAATTCGACAGTTAAAGTATCTAGACAAAGTAATCAACACCCCTTAAACTTTTTGTTCATAGAGCTTTTTGATTTCTAAGTTTCTGACCATTTTTGATAACATACATAATTCTCTATATTCCACTACATATTCTCCACAAACCTTACTCGATGCATCCGAATAAACAACTCTGGAGTGTTCAGGACACGTTTTAAAACACCCTTCGATTCAATCTCTCAAGATTATTCTCCCTTGAAACACAATTCTCGCTTTGCTTGATCAGCTATCTTGATAAGACATCCCAGTATAATCTACGACAACTATTTTTTAAAACGCCCTTGTTTTGTGACTATATTACCTGTTGCACCCTGGCAGATTTTTTCTAATTATGGAAGCCACAGTTTCACGGTTTCACTTCCGGGATATAATTAATTTCCTTTTCAAATCCCGACCAAACCTTAGCCAAACCAAACCAAACCGAGTTTTGATCGATCCTAATGTTGAGTACGATTTAGTTTGATTTACAGAGCATCATTTGATTTCCCTTTAGTTATTCTCTCTCACTTCTGATGTTTGTTCTTTATCCATGATGACAATGAAACATGGAACAGAAAACTTTTGGTTTATATTTATTGATCTTTTTTTGTTGTTTCAAAAAGAGAAGTTGCTAACTCGAAATAAAAGAAAATGCTTTATAATAGTTTTTCTAACATAAATATATAAGCACAAGTGCCAAAGGGAAAGGACCAATAGTTGTAATGGAACTTAGCAAGAAAAAGCAAACTCTAAGTGCATACCAGTCAAGAAAAATAAACCCATATAGCCCAAAACCATGATCTAACGTGAAAAGAAACAATGTCTAATACCCCCTTTCCCCCCACTATTCAAGAACCAATATCACAATCCAAGACCAGAAGACTAAGACCACATTTCATTCATACTGAAGTCATTACAATACATGTTGAAGAAAAAATTAGAAATTGATAGCCAATTGATAGCCAATACTCATAACCTCAAAAATAGTTGTAGATACACGTACTCATACAAGATAGAACATTCAGTCTCAAATGATGTGGGATATATAAAATCCAGTCTCCAAGTCCATAGGCGTTTCAAAGGGTCAACATCCATTCACAAAAGCCGTCGCCATAATCCATAAAACACAATAATTCACAATGGTCATCAGGAGAAAACTATGGCTGGTTTCGATCCCTATTTCTCAACCATTAATGCCATAGCTAGGATCCACCTCAAAAGGTGCCAAGTGAAAATATTGTGAGTTCATTGCCAATGTCTTAAACAATTCCTACATCCTTCAGCATCTCAAGTGGTAAAACTTGAAACTTCAAATCTAAATATTTAGAGCATGTCCTGCCATATCTAATAAGCTGGGATACATAGACCCATATGCTGGATTTAATGGAATATTACTGTCTAAATGGGGAAAATTCACAATATCAAAGTTGAAATCATCTCGTTTATCATACAACTTACAACATATACTGTTGTCTTGTTCAATGTTAATGAGAAAGTCAAGATAAGGCGCATTCATGTTCGATTCATTGGTCTTTTTAACTCTAACTCGGAAGGGTATATCTCATTTACAAAATTTTCAAATCCAGGGTTGTCCTAACTCAACAGGTCATCTATATACCTATCTGTTTTATTAAAAAAGTTTAGCTATGTGGAATTTTGTCTTATCTTTCATCTTCTTTTGCAAATACTTAAATTCATACGAGAATAGAAAAAGGTCTGCCAAAAGAGGAGCACAATCTGTCCCCATTGGTATTCCTATATTTTGACGTAAAACAGTATTTCCAAACTTTACATAAATGTTATCAATCAAAAAGCCAAAAACCTCACAAAGTTGTATTGCAGTAAAAAATATACTTTTCATGTTGAACACTAGAAAAAGAAAGCTCTATTTGAACTACAATTTACGAATTTAAATCTACTACCTTCCATTGTGTTTTTAATGATACCAAATATTTCCTCTTTCAATTTGTTATGGGGAAATGATGTGTAAAGTGGATATGAACAAATATGAACAAATCACTCTATTAGTTTTTAAGTTATAGTAAAAAACATGAAATAACACATGTAAAAATGGAGGCCATTTTCAAAATTGTAAAATAATGTGTAAAAGCTGCTATTTTTCAAGATAGTTCAATGTTTGGAAAAACATGAAAGTACCTATAAAATTTCAAACAAATTGTTAAAATACTGTTGGAATTATTGTATTTGGGATTCAAAGAATTATATTGGTATAGTCAACTGTAGAGATGACTTAAACTGTTTTCATCCTTGATAAATTTTGTTTAAGTTTTTAGGTTTAATTCTTTAATATTTATCTTACTCTCTTTAATTTCCTCTACAATGTTACCAGCAATTTGGAATGTGTAAGATTTTCCAACTACAAATCTATCACTCCATCTCTTTTTAAGTATATAAAACTCCTCACTGTCAATGTTAAGTAACATCCTGAAACAAATAGTAACGAAAATAGTATCATGAGTACTTGGCTCACAGTATGTTGCTCAAAATTGAATGATGGCTAAAATGACAGAAAATAATATAGGATGTCCCAAAAATGTATACACCTTTTAACAGCTTTAACTCAAATATGTATACATTTTTGGGACACCCTGCACTGTAGAACTACCGAGGAAAAAAGTAGTACTGTGGTAAAATGATACTCAAAAAGTATGGTTTCTGGAAAGGTTTACCACAGCAACATATGAACACATAAAATCAAGTGTTCTCAACTCAGCCTGAGCCTGAAGTAAAGTTTTCAATTTCAATTAATGATGGTTAAAAACTATCCTTTAACCAATTGATGCAAGTGCATCACACTTGATAACACATAGAGTAACTATTATGATCTCAAGGAAGAGTTAAAAAAAAACTAAATGGTCTTTATCCCTCAGATAAAATCTCTGTTAAAAGTTAACTTACTCACTACAAGTTCTTTTCTTATTGAATGCTACAAACTTATATGACAGCTATCTGTGAGGACAATCACAATAAGTACACTACAAAAAAGGAGCAGAATAAGAACTTAAATGTTTACATGGAGTGATCAAATGTAAACTGACAACTCCTAATCACAGTCTAGAGAGTACTTCAGTCATCCTACCAAAAACTGTTCAAGTAAGAAACAATCACAAAGGCTAGACTAATGGATCAGGAAGTGCTGTAAATTTCTTAATACAACTTTAATAAATCTATATCTACTAATGCACATTTTACCCACACTAAATAAATGTACTTACTGGCATAGTAACTATAGAATTACATATAGTTTCATTCGTAAGAGAAAAGTGCTTCCTAAATGGAGAATAGTGGCTCAAAATGAAAAACTTGTTTAAAAGTCAGTTAATCTTGATTAAAAATACCAGAATTATACTAATGCTTACTCTCTTTGATGAGAAAGGCAATAATCTTATTGCACTATTAAACAACATAAAAAATGTAAACCCACAAAGTTACACCCTCTATTACTCTCCAGCTCTTGTTTGGTACAAATAGCAGAAACTCTAAAAATAAACTTCTTCACTTTTATGCCATATAACAATGTTTAAGTTATGGTTATGATGCAAATCAAAGCTGGGGAAATCAAGACATAAAATACTTTTACAGATACTTTGAAAGATGAATACACATAACAGTAAATAAATAAGGTCAAACGTCACAGGCAATCAAAATTGCAGAATAACCTATAAACATGATCATATATGTAGTCTTAAACAAAAATCATCGAGGCTATCTCGTATAGGTTGTCAGTGAGAAACATTGCTACAAAGAATGTACCAAAGTGAAATAGATATATAAATCATGGTCAAGAGGAAAACTAATTTCCTGTAGCTCCAGAATATCCTGTTAATAATAAGATTACACTCTCATATCTGATAACCACTATTCAAGTCCAAGTCTGCTTGCAGGTTTTCATGAATAAAGTCCATAAATCAGACACGTATATTTTCCCAACTTTCCAGTGTTTACTTGCTTATATACATGTTCCAAACCTTCTTCTTTATTTTCTCCCATTGTCTTTTCCAAATGTATCCATTCCGTTCTTTTGACTTTCTGATTCTTTTTTCAATATCTTTTTTTCGAGGGACATATTTTTCCTTTGATGAAGTTTCTAAATAGATGCTCCAGTTCTGTTGTCTCAAAGTCAGTCCATTTCTGTCTCACTGGTCCGACTTTCCTTTTCCTCTTTAGAATAGGTGTAGATAACTCTGGTTCACTCAATAGAGGCGTATCAGAGTCCTTCAGGTTTTCAGCAGTTTTGTTTATAGCTTTCTCTAAGTTAGCTTCATCTTCTGGGCATACAGGGTCATTTAGCACTGTGTTGAGCAACTTTTCGTCCAAAGATGCATCATTACTGGATCCAGCTTCATCTTTTTGGCTGTCATTGGAATAGACCATGTCTAAACAGGAAAAATTAGAATATAAACTTAAAAGGTGTAATACAAGATCATATTGCAATGAAGGTTGTATCAAGATTATAGCTTCAGTATTGTTCCAATTACTGCATCAACTCAAACATTAATTCATTTTGCCAGTTGCTCTCTTCACGTTTTCTCATATATTTTGATGAAATACAAGAGCGATAAAAATAAAATTGCTTTTTAAAATTATGTTTTACCTCACACCCTGTTAAGATATGGCATTCAACTAGACATTAAAAATATAATAATTAATTTTGAAAAGCCTATAATTAAATTCCTACATGTACCTTGGAGACTGATATCATCCAGATTCTTCCCAACATTTTGTTTCACTTTATTATTATCCACCAGTAAGCAAAGTTTTGCCACCTCAATTCGCTCTATTGAAGAAGACGTTGATTTGTAATGAAGCTTATGCACATCTTCGCAATGGCCCAAGTGGTTGAAGAGCCATCCTGCTTGTTGGTGTGTTAGGTTTATCACCTTGAAAAGAAGATACAATAATTTTCATGTGTCATTGTTTCGTCGAGATATATTTATTTTACCGTATTCGTTTGAACTACCGCACTGTGCACTTAACAAAGTTTAACAAACAGTTTAAAAGAAGAAAAAATAACCACAGTCAGTGTTGAAAATAATAAATTCAGAAAATAAAATTCAAGCCTGTAAGTTGACTAAATCTGACACTCACCAGTTAATGCCCACATATTCAACTTCTAACAGTGCTAATTAGTATTAGTATTTGAGTAAGCATTAAGCTTTTAAAATCTGTATGAATAAGGTCAATTTAGGGTGACATTGATTTCACCAAAATATTCGAGAGGGTGATTCAGTTTTCTTTATAGTTGAAGTCGTATGTGCGCTTTTTGGAACATGTGCAGTTGTTCAAACGAATATGATATCTAATTGCTAAGAAGTGCATAGCAAGATGACAATATCTCATTGGTTTTGTTTCAAATCCCCCAGTGTGAAAAAGAAAGTGATATTCCTTAGTGTAATTCATCCATGCAACATTAGATTTTTGTGTTTGTTGGGGGATGATACAGTCATTTGAAACCATTGCATCTGCCTGTTTATATTTGTAGCGTGGTTTAAACTTGGGACCTTTGTCCTGGAATAGCCGATGGGATTGCGGAATCGTTGCGCTATGTATGGCAATAATGTTTCTCCCAAGATCTCCAGATAGCCATCACTGTTCATAAGTCCCGTAAACACCTTGATGCTTGTAGTACCTCTCCTAGATATCCCAGCCCACACATGCACTTTGTACGGATGCTTCCGCACAGGTTTAAGCTTTTCAGGTCAGCCCTTTTTCCTAAAGCGCTTTCTTGCAACGGACTCCATCTTGATGGTCGACTCATCTGTGAAAATAACGTTGTGATAATTTTCTCTGGTGAGTAGCATCTTTAGTGCGAAGGCCCAACTCTTATTTGCTTCACGGACCATCTGGCAGTACCTGGTCCACACACACCTCTAGCCTAGCTTATGTCTCATTTGCTTCACGCTTGACATAGATAACTCCCAAGTCAAAACACTCACTCATCTTTGCTGCTAGTGACACTGACGTCATCTCATCGTCCACTTCCATTTGCTTATCAAGGAAGTCCATGTGTTCAAGCGTGTACATTCGTCCTTTAATACAGCTCTTATCTGTGTCATCTCTATATGTTCTGTGAGCCACTTCTTCGGGAGCATAGTTACCTAAAAAAACATAGGTCTTGCCATTAACATGACTGTTCAATTGAAAGTGTGCTTCATCGCTAAATCCAACGTCTCTAAGGAAATCATCATTGTCCTCTATTCTTTGAGGAAACCACTCATTCATGCATTCCCGGGGTTCCATATCTCTTTCAGTCAGTTTCTATTTTACTGTTTTTTTGTCATTGCTTTTAGCATTTAGATTTTTTACAGTTCCTAAGTTCAGTTCAGTTTCTAAATTTCTTAGCCCACCTGTAAATCAAAGACTTGTTTAGAGCATTTCTCACAATGATGCTCTCTTTTAAATGCATTCAATGTCTTTTTGAAAGAACCTGTTGTCTACTTATGACTAGCTACAGTTATTAATGTTTTCTGGAAGAACATTGAATGGACTCTTTTCACCTGAAAAATGAAAAATAAATACTTATATTTACAGAGTTATAACATAAAATGTGGGTTGTATTTTTTTGAAACACCCTGTATTTCTTAAATTGTATTGTATTTTGTTTACCACCAATGAAGGTGAGCAATACCTCTCGGGTAAATCCTGTGTATACATGTATACGGTCGTAATTGAAATGATTTGAAATCTATAGATTTAACATACTTTGAGAACTCCATTGATTTCAATGGCATCTCCATTCTTGATAATGTCATTTCGAAGTTTTACTTCCGAATATTCTGTTGCTGTTGTTGCAACTTGTTCCCCTGGTACAGTTTGATGCAATGATAATTATCAATATTGTCAATCCAAGTCTTCAGGTTGTTGGAGTGCAGGCAGAGGGACTAATTCTAGGAGTGCAGACAGAGGGGCTAATTCTGGCAGTTCAGCAAATTCAATAGCAGGCTGCTCAGTACCTTCTCTTTGATTGTAGTAGAGAAACAGAGAGACCCTGATGTGTTCCGGCTTTATACTCATTCTTCTACATGTCATCAGGATATTGTAAAGAGAGAAACTTCACTCAGCCTCTGCACTTGTTATCACACAGTCTTTGTATGCCAACGCAAGAATTGACAATGCTGGGACCTGAAAAGTAAATGCATTTTAATTTTTTCAATAAGAAAACATGAGCGGAACTTTTGGAAAAACGCAACATTTTTCTTAGACTCCAAATTAAAAGCTGCTTACATGATCAACTAGTAAATGCATCTGGGATGATGGGAAATAAGGTCAAATTTTCATCTAGGTCAAGGGTCAAGAACTAGGTCAAATCTTGCATTTTCACCATTCTATTAATTATCTTTGTCGTTATTTAACAACTTGTCTTTTTTTCATCATGTAGCTTAGAAATAGCCCTTTCATATATGGAACTAGTTGAATAGGAAATCTTATCTGTGAATCTTGCCTACAGGTGAGAAAGAGGACATGCTGTCTTTCCCATCTGACATTTTTGTTATCGTTACTGCAAAATTTTGCAAATCACCTTGATGTAACAGTCATGCTATAACACTGTGCAGATGTAGCCCTCTTTTCTTGAGAAGTAACTATATTTTCTTCAGATGTAACCTTCTTTCCTTTAGATGTAACCCTCATTTCTTGAGATGCAACTTTCTTTTCTTGAGATGCAACTTTCTTTTCTTGAGATGTAATGTCAGATTGGTCCTGGCTGTCCAAAATTGATGTTTGATTGCTGTTATCACCACATGCATCTTGTTCATAAAATTATCAAGAAAGTAACCATACATTTCTGGTTTACCCTATAAGGTCAGTGTGTATTTTGATAAAATATTTTATGTGCCCTGTGCTATTACAGATAGAATAACTCATTCCACATATGGTCACCATCTTTCATTTTTGCATAAAATGTGCTTTGGTGTGCCTAGGTCTTATAGTCGTAATTGATAATTCTTAATAATGTATGAATAACTATATTATTCAGTGGTCTTCAAAATGTCAAAAATCCAAAGAACACACTGACCATTACTTCATAATTTTACTTCAATATAGTGTAAGATGGGCGATTGGAGGCCCGTGGGCGGCAAATTAAATAAACAACAAATGATTAAAATGTTTAAAATTCTATTTCAATATCCAACAATCAGTCAGTATATCTACATAATCCAGAATATCCACTTCAAATATTCATCTGTAACTGAGCAACTGAACTGACTACAGTGTACCTGTGTACTTGCTGGGCCAACACCCCAACTCAAGTGATTATATTCCATATATGGAAACAAGGCAGTGCAAAATACCCAGCATGATAAGATATAATATGAAAAGGTAAAAATGTAAAACTGGTTTGAACAATAGAACAAGTGAACAGTATAAAACATGTATGAAGGACTAGAAAAAACCACAGGATTAAAGGTATTAAAGACAGATTGAATAAAGCTACAATATGTATAAAGCTATAAATTAGAAAATATGAAAATGACCCTGTTACATTCACGCGGACACGTCTTACATGCGTCCCGCATGAAACCTTACTCGGCCATCAAAAATATATACAAAACTTCACTTTTCAAAATGGTTTACAATAAAATATTAAGTACCGGCTTAACCTCCCCTTAAATCATCCACTACCAGAACAAAATATAGTATATATAATACCATAAAGAATACAGTGTATTATCTAACAAACAATTAACTAACATAACTGATTAACAATTTTTAATGGACATGCTAATTAAGACAATTGATTAAGTAATAATATCAGACTTGAATCAATGTTGCATTTTAATGTTAAATTAGGCTCACATGAATACCTTAAAATACGTGCAAAATGTTTATCATTATATCCTTTGGTAACAACCTTATAGGCTTTATGCACCATAACTGGCTAAGTACACAATGATAGGCTAAGTAATACACCATAATAGGCTAAGTAATACACCATAATAGGCCAAGTAATACACCATAGGAAAATCCACATAATGCAAATATTAAGACACTTGTTCACCTTTGAAACAAGGAATACAGCAAAGATACAAACTTTATCACTTGCAACAATTGAATTTTGAGAGAAAGAACATGTTAGAATGTAAAACTAATGACGTCATTATTGAAACACATGATTATCATCTGAAAGTTTAAAGACATTATTAAACAGTCAAAACATTCATTTAAAATCCTGGCTTTTCAGCATAAGTATCAAATCAGCATCATTAAAATATCATACAGCATCAGCATTCTAGGCTCACATGAATACCTTAAAATACGTGCAAAATGTTTATCATTATATCCTTTGGTAACAACATTATAGGCTTTATGCACCATAACTGGCTAAGTACACAATGATAGGCTAAGTAATACACCATAATAGTCTAAGTAATACACCATAATAGGCCAAGTAATACACCATAGGAAAATCCGCATAATGCAAATATTAAGACACTTGTTCACCTTTGAAACAAGGAATACAGCAAAGATACAAACTTTATCACTTGCAACAATTGAATTTTGAGAGAAAGAACATGTTAGAATGTAAAACTAATGACGTCATTATTGAAACACATGATTATCATCTGAAAGTTTAAAGACATTATTAAACAGTCAAAACATTCATTTAAAATCCTGGCTTTTCAGCATAAGTATCAAATCAGCATCATTAAAATATCATACAGCATCAGCATTCAATATCATCATCAGATCATCATCAGATCATCATCAATATGTTGAGAACAGATAATCAGTACAGTTATACATCAAATGTTAAAGCTGGTTGTGGCACTGGCTTATAAAAATACGTCTTGTTAAAGATGTGTTCTCCAAGCGATTTCGACATATTGGACTGTTTGGTTGAAGTTAAAGGTGAAAGTAGCTGACTCAGTTTCTCCTGTTGTTTAGTCACAACACTCTTATAAATAGCAAGATCTTCTGATTGATTTTTGAGTTTTTCTTGAATATCAATTATCAAACTGTCATATCCATTGGATTTTGAGGTCAAAGCACTCACCAAATTTTGAGATTCACGAAGTTCAGTTTTTAGTTGATTAGATCTCTGGGACTCCTGATCTGCATATGATTCTATATCATCCTTCAATCGGTCGATAGTTTTCCTCTGCGATTTTAATTTGGATTCCATTTGTACTGCTTCAATTTTCATAGATTCTATACGTTCTCTGTAGATATTGTTGGCGTTTTTTTGTCCAAAAAATTCACTTTGGATTCGTTTAAAATCTGCAACTGCCGTAGTATATAATTCCATATTTACAGTCATTGACTGGGAATGTTTGTTGTGAGTTTTTATTTTTGTTTGCGTCCCAGTTGAATTAGTACTTGTATCTTTGATCACATGTATATGAAATTTATCATCTCGATTTCTGTGTCCTGCTACATTGCAAATTGAACAGAAATGTTTCTGAGCTTTATAAAATAAACAGTCTCTTTTTTGGTGCTGTGGAGATTTACAAAACCAGCAACAAGCATACGAATAATATTTACCAACATGGTTATAGGTGACTCCATTCACAAGCATACGAATAATATTTACCAACATGGTTATAGGTGACTCCATTCATCTTGTATTGTCCAAATGTTGTTTTTTTTTCACTGCCACTGCCTTAATTGCAAATAGTATATTTTTAAATTCTAGTAAGCACCAGTCAAATTGCCTAATCCACTGTCACTGCTATTTTTGCCTACCCCACTTGTTGCTGCTATTTCTGCCTACCCCACTTGCTGCTATCTCTGCCTACCCCACCCGCAGTACCATTTGTAAGATGGGCGATTGGAGGCCCGTGGGCGGCAAATTAAATAAACAACAAATTATTAAAATGTCTAAAAATTCTATTTCAATATCCAACAATCAGTCAGTATATCTACATAATCCAGAATATCCACTTCAAATATTCATCTGTAACTGAGCAACTGAACTGACTACAGTGTACAGTACAGGTCTTGCCGAAGATCTTATAATTATGCATCGCGGCGCAGAACTTCGGTGCATCGATCGGTGCATCGGTGCACCCATTTCGGTGCATTGATTGGCCCATTCGATGCACCGATTGATGCACCGATCGTTGCAACGGGGAATTCTGTCGGTGCATCGAATGTTGCGCCGATCGGCACAGTAACTTGGGACAGGGTAAATTACAATGGGGACAGATTATTTTTTAGTCTGATATCTGTAGATTTAGATTGTACATCAAACGTATAAATACTTTATAATCCTACTCTTCGCCGAACACAGTATTTTAATTAGACATTGACTTTTAACAAATATAAGCCAGCTCAAAATACTACACATATTTGAAATGTTTCGTACAATTTTCGTTTGTTATATATGACCCGACGTTCCGTCGATCGGCACATATTTTCACTGATCATTAATAAATAACGCCTATATAATATAATTTCTGACAACGGGGGCAAATCACGATTGAGACAGATATATATTTATTATACGAGTGGAACATATTTAATTTATGATCATATTGAAATCAGGAGTATTGTGTTCGAACGCGGTAGTTAATGTCAATGAACGAATATAAAACATGTTATCTATTTATTAATTGGCGTTATTAAATTATTATAGTTATAGTGATTTAGTTTATTTGTATATAATACGTTGTTTTAGTGAACTGGATTTGGATTCAGTGGTCGTCTTCGAATGAACATTCATTTGTCATGATAACCACCAAGATGCAATGGTCAACTTTTGCTTTTACGTTTAATAATCAACGCCTTCCCTAAATTTCCTGTCAGATCATGAATTCCAGACTTCACCAAGTATTTAATTTATATTTTGCGTTTTATCATCTTTCCCCAAAGCTACATTTACATGCATTCATGGTACAACTACTACTTACTGACTTTGGTTTATCATTGTTTTGTTGCAAATACGGGGATGTTTGGGTTGATGTGTTTGGGACTTCCCCTTTTCATAATGTAATTATATATTATTCTGTTTTGTAGGTTCGGGTGGGTAAGGTATACACAAGAACAATACACACAAGAACAATATACGGCCCATCCTAAAGGGGCACAGACACAACAGTGCCGTTCTTCAAGTTATAGCCGTGGAATTATATAGTTTATGCATCTTGCCTCAAGCGACGTGTTAAGTCTGACGTGTTAACCCTAAAAAGCGTTATCACATGTTGGGTTTGAGAAACAGTCGCTGGACAAGTGCAAACTATGCAATAACAATAATATAACAATAGATAATGTTTGGCATGCATTGTGTTTCCGTTTCATTGTTAAATTAGTTGAAAATATATGTAGTTATTCACCAGGAGGGATTTGATATGGAGAATATCACATGATATTAATATCTCCCGAGGGAACGCAGTGACAGAGGGAAATATTGATATCATCCGAGGGATATTCTCAATATCATCCCGACAGATGAATAACGACCTTATACCATGGTCAAGAGCAACATATATCTAAAATCCTCTTTTGAATGAGAGAAAATTGAAAAAATGAAAAATTTTGAAAAAAATATCTTTTTTGAAAAATGAAAATTTTTGAATAAATACCCAGGTTGATATCCATATCATCCCTCTAATCCCAATATCATCCATATCCCAAATATGTGATTTATCACCTACTATTATATACTGAGATATTGCTCTGACCATGGTATAAAAAGAATAACTTATCATAAGCAGACTTCTTTTCAGGGTATTCAACGGCGATGTAGTTTCCTCGGATATTCTCAAATAAGCAATTATACCCGTTTGCATGTTTAATTTACTTTTGATTTGATTTGATTGTTTAAATTAGATAAAGTCTTTCAAATGCGGTCAGATGTCACCAGTGTCTGGAGGGTTGAGATTTGATTTAGGAATTAAATTAGAATAAGATTCCCAAGTGAATATGAGAGTGGAACAGTATTCCCCGACCGGGAACGAAATAGTACACGTTCGGGTACAAGTTCTTTTAAAAACGTGTAACTCAACCTTCTTATAAAACAAAGCAAAGGAAATGTAAAGCTAGCGTTAAATCGTGGAATTATCAGCCTTTACTATTTTTTGAATATGAAAACTCTCTCTTTCAAGCATTCTAGTGCATGGCTCTGATAAATCAGAATGCTAACTCTAATGAATTAAAAATGTATAAACTTAAATACAGTACGCAAAATGCCTAAAGATTAATTATTCGAAATGAATGTAGACCTCGCCATCAAAATTGTCATCATCACCGTCAACAGACCTACGCCAACTATTTATGAATACCTGGAAGATAAATTAAACCCTTAATTATTAACTTTTAAGTGTTAACAATAGAACAAGAAACTGCATGCATAACATGAAGTATAAACACCCGGTTATAAACACATTGTTGGGCGCCGAGGTAGCATTCGCCAATTCAACTGACGGCTGACAGATTCACCAACTAGGCTAATTCATGTCCAAGTCATTTAAATATAAATAGTGACTGTCACTATTCCTTCATTTATGTTTAAAATGGCTTAAAAACTAGGTTAAACCACCAGCCGTCATCTGGCAGGGGAATTCAACTCATTTAACTCATGAGTAGTACCTGCCACTATAAGTAATTGAATTTGCCACTGATAAAAAGTAGGTTAAACCTCCAGCCGGCAGCTGAATTGATGAATGCAACCTTAGTTCTGAATTATTTCGGAACTGTTTCTGCTGAATCCCAGGATGCGTTTTACACATTTCCCGAGTGAAGACCCCCGCTTTTCTCTACGTTGTGTCCTCGCATGTGTCCATGCGTAACCCCAAAATTCACATGTCCGTCATGTTTGCAGCATTCCATTCATTGAGAGAACCTGTAAAAAAGAATATAATATTTAGCAGATGAGATATCAAATGGTGACTGAGACATCAAATGTTTTAACAACGGGCCTGGGTTAAATATTGAACTTGCTTAAATTATATTAGATGGGGCATGCAGGCTCAATTAATGTGGGACGGGCATTTTAAAATCAATAACAAAAAGTAGCTGTCACAGTGTCACATTCGCTATATGGGCTCACCGTTTGCCACTGAGTGGTTATTTGGGGCATACATTTTTTTAATTAATTATTTTTTTAATTTGGTGTTACTGGATATATCTAGATATTTGTTTTGCCCATCGTGTATACATGCCGTGTCCCGCTGTATGCCCAAGCAGAGTATTCACACGTTGTCGAACGATGAGCCCTTATGTCATAAGTGTGATAGCTCCATAATAATGGTTTGCTTTTAAACGTTCAAAATACTCATACATGTCTAAAATGAAAATATCATGAAAACCAGAGGCCTTGTTTTAAATACTGAACATTGTATTAACGTCTAATGCTATTTGTAGTATGACACAGGTACACGGTACTTTGGTATATTCAGGGCTGAAATCTAGATAGCTCCATAATAATAATGGTTTGCTTTTAAACGTCCCATTGAACAAGAAGGGATTAGGCTATTTCATTATTATGTGGACTTAAACATAATGTTTGAAGTAAAATAATTCATATTTTCGTATATAGTTTCTGTTTATCTGAAAAGAATATCGAAATGTATCATTGCATTACACAAATGCGTTGCTTGCAAACATAAGTGTACCTTTACATTCGACTGACAGTCTGACAGTTAACTGTTATTAATTGATTTAAATCTGTGAACGCGTCTTGACCCCCGTTCTTTTCTGCGGCACGTTTTTGAAGTTTGGTTCAAGAACTATTAATATCAAAATTCATTTATTGGCGTGGGCCTTCTGCATAATGAAATTGTCTTAATATTCTGTCTCTATTGATGCATTACTCGATCCACCAATGCACGTTGCACGATGCACCGAGGAATGCGTCGGTCGGCGTGTTAAGCTTGCCGATCGATGCATCGATTAAATGCGCCGCGATGCAGCTCGGTGCACCGATGTCGTACCGATCGTTGCACCGATCGATGCGTCATTCGATGCACCTTTCAATGCACCGAGGTGAGATCCTCGGCGTGACCTGTACTGTACCTGTGTACTTGCTGGGCCAACACCCCAACTCAAGTGATTATATTCCATATATGGAAACAAGGCAGTGCAAAATACCCAGCATGATAAGATATAATATGAAAAGGTAAAAATGTAAAACTGGTTTGAACAATAGAACAAGTGAACAGTATAAAACATGTATGAAGGACTAGAAAAAACCACAGGATTAAAGGTAATAAAGACAGATTGAATAGAGCTACAATATGTATAAAGCTATAAATTAGAAAATATGAAAATGACCCTGTTACAATAGGGTATGATATGTCATATTCCCTGCTTTTCTTGAGCCCTTTATAAACCTGTGAAAGATCTATTTGATTAGATTAGATGATATCGTTTGACCAAAAAAACTTTGTAAGAATTGAAGAACTTGAATCCTGTTCCTCAATTTCCATTTCTATTCGTTGGTCAAATTTTCCTTTCTAAATAAATAACAAGAAAATCCAGTGAAAAAATCACTGAAAAACTACAAAGACCCGAAGTTAGGGTATAAGGGGCGGAAAAGATGGAGTGATAGCGAAATGTTGATTTAACTATTAGTAAATGGTTACATTGTCACAGAAGCATGTAGCGCTACTTGTACTATCAGGCTACTGTTATACTGTTCTAGATGGGGTCGGGTTACTTAGGTCCCAAGTAAGGAACTCTATTGTTATTGTAAATGACTTTTTCACCAAAAACAATATGGATAGCGCTTCTTGCTCTTTAACGTTATGTTGATGCTGTACTGCATTACCAAGAGGAAGTTTAATATACGTATAAATTTTAACAAACTTCATTATGTCACCATCTCTATAGCTACACGGTGACATAAAACAATCATGTAACTTTAGCACATATATCAGTATATTGTGGCGTCTTATAGCCCAAAAATATACATCAAATCTCAAAAAGTCCAATTAAATCCCCAGTAAATGACAT